GTCGCAATCCTTCCCAAGTTTCAAGTGACTCAAACCCAGCCTGAGATGTGTCAAACATATCTGAATGACCTGAACCATAGAATACAGTTGTGCTGGAATCAATGTCTGGCTCTTTTTTTGGGGTCCTCCTTGGCAACGCACTGTAATCAGTGCATGCTCCTTACCTCCTAGTCAACGCACTGTAACCAGTGCATACTCTTTATCTCGTGGGTAACGCACTGTAATCAGTGCCTGCTTCTTACCTCATGGGCAACGCACTGTAATCAGTGCATGCTCCTTACCTCCTGGGCAACTGGCTCTCTACTGATGTCAGCTTTAGTTGGGGCATGGGGAGGGGGGGTGGAACTCTTGAGGCCTGGGGGGGTGAAGCTCTCAGTGATTTCAATCCTCTCCTTGGATCCAGCTGATTCCAGCAGATCTGGGCAGCAGGGTGCTTCCCACAGATGTTTGATTCAACAATTTTTACCATCAGGGACGTATATATCTTCAGACTGAATCTGGTCATGGGGGTGTCATAAAGCGGGGGGAAGTTAGGATGATTCCAAGGGCCCCTGGAGCGACTGCGGCCTAAGAAATTGGAACATAATCTGAATGATCTGGGTTGGGGGACCAAAATATTATGCTTTCATGGGGCCCAAAATCCTTAGCTGCACCCCTGAAAGTGGTAGCCTGACTTGGGGGGCCAAAGTGACATTTTGTCAGGGCCCCATACACCCCCAGTGACAGAGCGGTACATTGAGTGGTACCATAATCAGCAGCTCAGCCACTGCAGTAGCCCAAAGAGCCTCAACATCAATGGGCCCAAGGTCAGGACATACTGCAGCATTTTTGACATCCTTCTCACACAGGAACACCTGTCTAGTGACTGTCACCCTCACTGCAAGGTCAAATTAGCAACAGGTTGTCATATAAATGATCAGTGCGCAAGATTCAAGATTTTTATTTGTCACATGCGTAAATTGGACTGGAACACCAATACTGAAATGCTGGTACTCCAGACTGTTGAATAAACAAGGTAGAAGGTAGGCCTTGCCTGACAATGATATACAGTAGTTAAGGCTTGAGTCACAGTATTCTGAAATCCACCAATCACATTTCAATTTGTAGTGTTCTTCAAATTTTCTACAATTCCTGCATGGGGGGATATTTAGAAAATATCTAAGTCTATGCCAATCTCTAACAACCTGCAGAGGTGAGCCTCCTTCTTTTTGTGGGGGGGGGGCTACCTTTTCTACCCAACCCCTTCCCTTCTGACCCTGTGAGCCAGGAGATGTTGCAATACAAACACTTTCACACTCTTGAACAGCTTGGATTCACTCATCTGACATCAAACCTCATTCTAAATCCCAAACCTCAGAAAGGGACATTCTCTGCACCATCGGTTCAACGTTTCAACTCAAGGGCCCCCGGCTACCTCTGGACTTGTCTCAGCACTTGGGGGTTATGTTGAGTTACTTTTATTAGATATGACAACATGATCAAGGCTATGGTGAGAGTTATCATTAGAGGGGTCAGCAGAATCAAGGCCTCTAACCATCTGTATTAAACCCTCAGGCGTGCACGGAAATTCCTGTGATGAAGCTTCACCCATACTTGAAAAGTTCTGATGATCAGAATTCATGAGCTGTCTTATACTAAAAGTTTTCAGACATATTCCTGACTTCCTACTGATGTTTCAGCTCCTCTATTATTCTGACATGACATCTCTAATCTAGTCTTTCTCACATCTCCATGAACAAAAAGATTAAGAAGGAATTGTTTAATCTTTTAAAAAATATTTCAAACTACCTTGTTTTGCAAAAGGAGGGTGGCGTGGTGGTGCAGTGGTTAGCACTGTTACCTCACACCTCTGGGACCTGAGTTTGAGTCTCTGCCAGGGTTCTATGTGTGTGGAGTTTGCATGTTCTCCCCATGTCATCATGGGGTTTCCTCCAGGTACCCCCCCCCCCCACACACACACACACAGTCCAAAAACATGCTGAGGCTAATTGGGGTTCACAATTTGCCCATAGGTGTGTGAGTGCCCTGTGATGAGTTGGTGCCCCACCCTGGGTTGTTCCCTGCCTGGTGCCCTGTGATGGGTTGGTGCCCCATCCTGGGTTGTTCCCTGCCTTGTGCCCTGTGATGAGTTGGTGCCCCATCCTGGCCTTGCACCTGTAGCCTCCAAGATAAGCTCTGGACCCCCAGTGACCCTGAACATGATATGTGGCGGCAGAAAATGGATGGATGGATGTTTTGCAAAAGGAAAAAAACATATATAAAGGTAGACAAACTATATCCACCCAAGAAAAGTCTGCTGTTTTCATAGACTGTCACTGGCAGCTTTCAGCCTTGTCTCTGAAGGGCACCTTCATTGCATTTAGATTACATTACATTTACATATTTCGCAGACACTTTTGTCTAAAGTGAGGCAAATACCACATTACAAACAGTAATCGAGTCAACTGGGCGGAGTGCAGCATACTTCTAGAGGAATAAAATTTGACTTAGCCCAATGATTTATGTACACAACGGTGGAGAACAAGGAAGCACATGTCCAAAAAATTATGTATAACACCTGGAAGAGCAAGGTTTATTTTATTTATTTAAAAGCATAGGGAAAAGAGTACAGGGGAAAGGCAATGAAAACTCATTGGAGTTTTACTTACACAAATATGTTCTGAGGGCAGAATGAAAAATGATTGGTTCAGAGAGATAACCAATCAGATTGTATAGGAGGTGGGACCAAGCAACTAGAAGAGGCAGGACCAATACATCTGATTGGTTGGTCCCGCCTCCTATCCATCTCTCAGAACCAATAATTTTTTGTTCTGCCCTCATAACATTTTTGTGTATGTAAAACTCCCACGAGTGACTGCCAAGTAGACAGGCATGGGCCCATCAGCACTGGAGTGTGTCATAGGAGGAGTCAATCCCCCTCCAGGAGAAGAGAATGTATATGCAACTTGTTTGCCTAAGACTTTCCCTGGCCATTTCCCCAGTGTAGGTGTGCCATGTGGGGCACTGAGCGGCTGCCAGTCTCGTCCTGTTAGCATTCCTCGCAGGGGTTTCTGGACTGGCTGTGAGGAACCCCGTCATCGGCGCCCACCTGTGTGGTGCTAAGCGATGCCTACTGAGGCTCGGCAGATTCCCGGCGGGTTGTCACATCGCACAACTCAAGAAAGGCTTGGGGTATTCTAAGACGGTACAAGCTGAGAGGAAATAAACCATCGTGTGTGATGGTCAGGCTACACTTGTGCTTGCTTGAGGGTTCTATTCTTACCTGGTGGTCAAATTGCACCAATAATTGAGTAAGGGGTTCTTTGGCTTAAAAATCTGTCACATGGCAGGAAAAAGCCTGCTTGAAATGGTCCTGCTTTCACCATCATCCACATGACACATGCAACCCAATACTGCCTGTGAAAGACCTCATGCCTGTCATGCTGCAGTGGGCCAATGCCTTTATATTCTAGGATCTGCATTTCCCCATAAACTATAGTTGGATGAAATATACATGGAATTTGGTCCCTGACAGCACAAAAAAATATCCACGTTTCCACCCTTTGCAACATTCTGTGTCAGTTTGAATTTTTTAATAACCAAATGTCCACACTTCCAGGATCCCAGCAATTACCCAGTCCCAGTCTTTATCTTGAGTGAGCTTCCACCTTTATGATATCTGGTTTGTGGCACATGTCCTTTCATACATTTGAACTGAGAAACTTAATGGAAATTGACAAGACAATATTGTAAAAACGAATCAATAGCACTCTAGATGGAGTTACACCTTAGCTAAAAAGATAACAGGTAGGTCATGCTTCCTCTGTACGGTGGCTAAAGTTGCATGAGGTGAAGACATTTGTTGTGTACCACTCACAGGTATGCTGGGCAATCAGCAGGTCCAAAACATCATTCCACAGGGTCACGCGGCATGAACAGTCAGTATGGTTCAGTGAAACATGGAACAACCGTGGAACCCTTGGATGATGTCACACAACCACACCCCCATATGCAAAACAAGGAAGGACACTGAGTAATCACTGGCCTAGTGCTATGGCCAAACTTGAAACCATAATAATGCAAGAGTTTCTATCAGCCACCTACTTAAATCCAGATGTTGCATCTGGGGTCCATCAGGATCACTTCCTCTCTGGAGCTCATGTGAAGAAACATTAACATCCGTACCTGAAATGTGTAAGACTAGTCAGAGGTCTAGAAAAGACACAAGCCAGAGCTCACATTTCCTGGAGCAATTCTGTTTGCTGCTATCAAAGAGCAGCACAGTTGTACTACAGCGGATAAATACCCACGCACACAGCGCCGTAACCTTCGACCCGTTTGCGTCCTATGTCTATTGTTGCCCGATTACTTAAGCACAATTGTTTTTCAAAAAGTTTAGACGCCGTCCTTAAATCACGTTGATGTAGACTATATGTACCTGTATTCAATAAAAGCATTATTTAAAGTGTAATCTTTATATGAGATATTTTCTAAATTATTATTTGTGACCCAAATGAACATTGCAATAATTACGCGTGGAGCCATTTATCTCTTTATGCACCGTTATTTTGAGGAAGGAGCGTCCCCTATCGGAGAGAAAAAATAATTTCCTTGCCTTTATATTTTACGGTGGAGAGACACGTGCCGTGTCTCGAGTAAACATATATTCTGCATGCTTAGTGTTGACAGCGTTGCACTGCTCTAGTTAAATTTCGTTTGTATTCCATAATAAACTTCTTGCAATTGATTTATTCCTGCTCATGTAACATACATGCATATTTTTTGTCCTCTTTACAAATACATAGGAGGTAAAATACAAAATAACTGCTCCAACACCGATTTCTCAGTATTTATCAGAGTCAAGTTATTTTCACAATAAATTAATATAAAACCGTGCAAAACAGAGTATGTTACATAGAAAGCTGGAGCAGCAGACGCAGGTAAACGGCGAGCCGCCTCCCCCGCGCGTGCATGATGTAATGCTCAGCAGAGGATGGTATCTTCGCGAGGGTCGCGCTCGGAGTCGCCGAGCGCCTTCCCACAATGCCCTGCGCGGATGAGCACCAAGATGGCCGAAGCGATGGATGAGTACGAAAAAGACGCTGGCTGTGTCCCTATCCTTCATCCAGAGGTGAGAGGCTCGGCTTTTGCTTTCTTTTAACGCGGAAAAGGCTGGGCGTTTTCAGTGCTGGGCCCTACAATGTAAAGCTAAAGATAAACGGACCCACGGGCTTTGTGCAGCATCAGATCCGGGAGCCCCCCCCTGCGAGGAGTTACGGCGAGTACCAATTACATCTGTCAGATGCTCCGTCGCTGGAGATGAGAGGGGGGGATGGAAAAAAAATCCCATATCCGCATAAAGCAGGTTTAGTATTTACTACTTGGTGTTTGATAGGGGTTGTCATACCCGTATGTCTGTCGTAAAGCGAAGCCGGCCGGCTGTTACGCATAGCGCATCTCCTTAACGTTCAGCTCCAGCCTGGGCTGCGGAGACTGCTTCGCGGTAAAGGGCCGGAACCCCGGGGCAGGCGTGGGCTCATGGTGGCCGAGTAGGTGACGGGTCGTGGACAGGCTTTAAAAACCTCACATCCAATGAGTGGCATGGTCGAGTCCCAGCTCGCTGTGTGAAAAGCCGGCCGCCCGCCAGAGTAGCGCCGCCGCCTCGCTAATAAGAGACATTAACAAAGATGGCCCAGGCCCCGGTCCGCTGCCCATTATGCTCTTTGTGATTCATTTGTTTATTTATCAGGAAATATCCCAACAAGCGTACAGAAATCACCCTGACAACAAAGTGTCTGATAAGCTACCTTGCTCTTGCCGCGGTGCTCGGTAGCTGGATAATAACATTCTGTAAGCACTATGTAAACAATGTCAAATACACTAACTGTTGGTTTTTCTACGACTAACAATCATAATAATAATAATATCGAATATATGACTGAATGTTAATTAATGTATTGATAATCTCTGCCTGTCGTAATCTAACTGTTAAATCTGTTTTATTTTATTTTTTTGCTGCAAGATTGTAAACGTCAAAATTGTTGTAATTTAACAACTTAGCTGCTGATTATTTTAATTCGAATATTGTCGTTTGTTTGGCAAATGTTATTGTTTAACAAACATTTTGACTCTTCTGCTTGATTTTAGAGAAATATTATCTCACACTAAAGATGAGCAGGATATTTATAAGTGTCTTTCTAGGGGTCACAATATAACAAGATTGACAATCAACCTAATGTCAAATGAAAAATGTATTTTCTTGAATCTGATCCCCTGCTAGAAGCAGCAGTCTTTTGCTGTCCTTTTATACCCGAGATTGAGGTAATCTCTCCCTGCTATTTTGAGGGGTGATACTCCAGGTAGCTTCTCCAGAGCTTGATGGTGACACGTGTCTTAGTATATGAAAATACATGATCTGTACTCAGAGTCATCCTCCAAAATAAACAGCACAGGTTTATTTATGGTTGTTGTTTTTTCTCTGGTGACTTATATTAATTGTAGATTTGTTTGTTTTATGGAGCTGCAGCAATGCTAGATAAAATAGCCTGACAAAATTTTGTGCTGAGCCCACAGCTGCTGTGCTACCGCCGTGTCTCCTCTCTAGGTGTGCGATGCTTGTGCAGTCAGTTTGTGTTTAATGTCATGCACGTGGAAGTGCTTCTGTTCGCTGTTAATGTGTGCTGTGTGGGACCCTGTGTGGCTCCGTGGCTGAGGACTCTGCCTGTGATCGGAAGATCACTGATTCAAATCCTGTGGCTGGCAAAATGATGTCACCGCTGGGCCTTCGAGCAAGACCCTTAACCCGTGAGATGCTCTGGGGACACTGACCCTCTCTTCTGATCCACACTTATATGTTTGCTTGGGACAGAAGGGCTTGCCAGATAAATAAATGTAATTTATGTATATGTTAGACAGTGAGGAAGTTCACAGTAACACACATTCCTCACTTTATGCTACATCTTGGGCCACCTACTTCAATTGTGGTTCTAACTGCTCACTTTATTGGTTCCCCTGAACTGGTCTGGTGTTCCAGTGACCTGATCAAGACCTAGGTCAATGACCTAGGCCAGTGTCATGTTGTATGTATTGTAATTGCAGTTTAGGCATCTTGACCTGAGGTTGAATTAACATCAAGGTCCCATTTGGCTATTCTGGGACATGGTGTGTTGCTGCTGTTATTCTATTCTGTACGGTCTGTTTCTCTCTTAAACATCCAGTGTTTGATGCTGTTCCTCGCATCCCTGTAAAAGGGATGTTCTCTGAGAAAATAGGGCCCTGGGCGAGATACCAGCTGTTTAAAATCTCCATTGTTCCAGCCATCTGCTCGGAGTCTCCCAAGCACTACCAGCTCAGCCCCTTCTGACATCTCAGGTTACAGTTTTGCATTTTTACCAGCACAGCGAAAATTACCCATAAGAGGTGGCCTTGCATAACTCTGTATCTGATTTGACGGGATGGTGTTCCGGCTTGTATCTGATGCTCTCCTTCCAGCGCCATAGAGCGTTAAAGGGGCATGAAATTGACCCAATAAGCCAACTTGCTCCACTGAAAATAGCCTGACAATAGCTGAGCAACCGTAATCGTGAACCATTTTGTAAATCATGTATGAAGATAAGTGAGGCATATTTATTCCGATTATTTTATCCAAAATGCTTACGTAGGCTTTTTTGCTTATTATACAACCAGATTGTTTCATGTAAGCCCTGCACACGTCATGGCTGTGCACAGTGCAGGTTACTATGCTACTTAAATGTTACTTAGAGGACAATCTAACATAAACTTTGGATTTTCATTAATAAGTCAATGTTGTGGAGTGTTTGCTTGTGTGTGTTTTGTGGGGCTTATTATGATGAGGGATCTGTTTCATTGGGTTTGATTCTGTAATGGCTACTATAGCTGGATAATTGACTCCTGTGTCATTAAGAAATGGACAAATTAAGTATTTTATGTGGTGTTTTTCTGGGGTACAGCTCATATTTGTTTATTAATATTATTATTATTATTATGATGTTCACGGAATTAGGAATTTATGTCTCCCAAAGAGGGTCATTTTGTCCCAAAGTGCATAGTCCTGCAAAAATACTGATCCTAAAATATCTGTGTGTTTTTGGTCCAGTTGGCATGTGACGCACACTGTTATCTGTTTGAATTTTTAACCTAGCCCTCTTATATTTAATCTCTGCTACAGGAACTGCCTTTCCATACTCAGCTATTCAATGCAAGGCTTTGGAGTAAAGTTCAGGTTTTATGTTAACCTTTAGGGGTTTTGGAGCGTAGCCTGAAGTTGTAAATCGCAGCCTCAGTGCAGCAGGCCGGCTTATGGCCGAGGGCTCTAACTTGAAGTCTGGCCTGCTTTTCGCCCCCCCCCCTCCTGTACTGCACTAATGCTTGAACTAGTTCTGCCACTGTGCTGCATTAGTGAGTCTGGAATAAGCAGAAAAATGTAAAAAATAACGCAGTTCAATGTACCAGAAAGAAGCGCTTTTGGGTTGTGAGCAGCCAGTAGTTCCTTCATTAGCACAGACCGGTGCGTCGAACCCACTGAGATTTTTCAGGTAAAATTTACAATTGAAAATTTTTCCACATCACTCCACCGTTCTGTTGTGTGACTGAGTACAGCACTCTTATATATTCTTCCCCCTGGAGTGTAACTTTGTTAGCAGGATGCTTATTATTCTGCTGTTGTAAGGTGAACAAGGGATGTGCAGAATAATGATGTGAGTGCTCTCTGATTGGCTGTCCTTTTGGCACATTTTTGTCCTAGAATGGAAGCTGAGCCGGGATAACTAGTGCCGTGGGTTGTGGACCTAAAATCACACAGTCCCAGAACTTCAGATATGAGAGTGGTTCAGCAGAGATTTGCATGGGTGATATAAAATAATAGTAAGGGGGGGGGCATGATATGTGGCTTGCATTAAACTCAGAGCCTTGCACATTCTGTCAGTAGGCCGGTATGGTTAAGCGTGACCTCGTATAAACTGAGGGAAATTTCACTTGGCACTTTTATATTACGGCAGATTTTTTTAATGTTTTGGCACTCAATACTGGCTCCTGTATTTGTCATTTTTATCAAAGGGACTCGCTCTGCCCCCCACGCTGACATGTTTTTCATCAGTTTAGGGGCTCTGAGTCTTAAAGTAATAAAACCTGTGCAGCTTACTCACTGCTGGAATGAGTAGAGTTTTTTTCTTTTTCTTTAGTGACTTTAGTGCTTACTCTAGCATTTGCACACTTAAGTATGAGTTCTTGTGAATGAGATGCAGACAGTGCCTGCCCATTTTATCAAGGGGTCAAAGGGCAGCAGGGGGGATAAAGTACAGAAATTATGCACCTGTGCAGTTCTGCCTGAAAAGCTCTTCATCACATGTGAATTCCTGGCTTGACCCTGACATTTTGCCTTCATGAATATTCCTCAGTCACAGCAAGCACACATACTCACTCAGGGCGAGAGCTCTCCGTTAAATTACAATGAGTATTAAGTAAGGCCCGGGGGGGTCCATCACTTTGCCATTTAACTTTCCAAAGAGGTCAGACCTTCTCCACAGTGTCTTATCTGCGGTCCAGCAGACACCTGCTGTTTTGTTAATGGAAAGGTGGATTATGTCTGGAAATTCCTTCACGGAGCTGAAACGTTTCCGCAGATGGCTAGGCTCACTTATTCTTTGGATTTTCGTGATGCTGACCCAGGCTGATCTTCAGTGGTGTTAAGGAGGATTTCTGAAGTAAGGTTCCAGTTCTGAAACGATTTGGAAACACAAACCACTTGAGGCACAGAACACGGTAATATTTTTTGTAGAGCAAATATATGGATTTATTGGTGAAGAGCTTAACCTGATCCTTGCTGAGCTTTGTTTGATTTCTTGTTAATTGTTTTCGGTTTTAGAGAGATGACAGGTGGATGCCTGTTAACCTTCTCATTTTCTGAAGAAACTGAGACCAACTAGAAGAGGCTGGTTTAAAAGGGCTCTGTGCCCTGCCTGTGTGCTGTGCCACGTGCTATAATCACTGGGCATACGCTAGCCTGCCCTTGCCTGCCATCCCCTTCACCAAGAAGCTCTTCTGGCATCTCCTGGGCCTGTGCCTGGGCTGAGCTTGTGGTACGTGCTGATTGGCTGATTCTCTGCCTCCTCTCTCCGCAGGAAATCAAGCCCCAGAGTCACTACAACCATGGCTACAGCGAGAGTGCCGGGCGCAAGAGCCATGCCGATGACTACAGCACCTGGGACATCGTCAAAGCAACACAGTGAGTCCTGGGGAACGATGTCACTACTCGGGGATCGTTTGATCTGGTCTCCGTTCGTGGCAAAACTCTGCCATCTGTCAGTGTTATTGTCATGGCAACACAGTGGGTTCTGGGGGAGGGCATTGCTCCTAGATCGTGGTCTATATATATATGGTGAAGTTAGGTAACTGGGTATATGTGCTTGGAACTGTACAGAGATGAGCGTACCTTTAAAAGGGTTCACTGATAAGGATGGTGACATGATACTTATTAGTTTTTTTTTCTTTTTTTCCTCACATAAGTGCAAATGTGGAAACCCCATTAATAAACACTGCAACGTGGTTTATACTTGACAGTGCATTAATGGTTTGCTGTATAAACATTAGAAGCCATTTAGGTCATTGTGAAACACGGTGCCCTGGGCAGCCCCATAAGAATGATGGGGGGGTCCCTCTGGCTTTACCCTGACCGTGCCGTTGTTAATGGGTCACAGCAGCGTTTCAGGGTAGCGGCGTGTCCACGAGAGAGAGGGAACGCAGAGCTGGGATGCCATGTGACACAGACACCATTCAGTGACCTGATTCTGTAGCAGTTTTGCATGTGTGATGTAGCCACATTCAGACAAAGCAGCAGTAGGGGATTTAGGCCCGTGCCTTTATGCTCACGCCACACTGTTTATTTCTCTGATTAGCCATCAGGTTGCGTCGTTATTGGCACAACCTTTCATTAGGAAAGGCTTCACTTCCCCCAAAAGCATGCCCATCTCCTCCTCCTATTGCGTCATCTCCTCCTTCTCTGCCTCCTCCTCCTTTGCCTCCTCCTCTGTCTCCACTTTCTCCGCCTCCTCCTCCCCTACCTCCTCCTCCTCTATTGGCTGTGCCCATGGCTGCACTTCCAATGCTGACCCTCATTTTGCTCTTTAACATGTAATAGTAAGTAGTAGTACTGCAATTAAAATTATTGCCAGTTACACTTGGTGATTATTATCTTCCCTAAGCACTGAACAGAAATATCCTTCCTCCTCCAGTCTTGTCTTTGAAAAGCTAACAGTCGCATTAGCCCCACGTGACGCCTGTCCCTCTTGCCCCCCCCCCCCCACAGGTACGGCATCTACGAGCGGTGCCGGGAGCTGGTGGAAGCCGGCTACGACGTCCGGCAGCCCGACAAGGAGAATGTCACCCTGCTCCACTGGGCGGCCATCAACAACCGGCTCGACTTGGTCAAGTGAGTGTCCCCTACTGGGCCTGGCGTGTCCCGATCGGCCCTAAAAGCGCATGTTTCTGTGGGCGTGTCCCCTGCCGAGCCAGGAGGTAACCCCCCTCCCCTTCAGCAAATTGGCTCACTCCTATACAGCCACTTTGTGTGGTTGCTGATGGACTTTGAGCGTTTCTGAGCGTTTGCTCGGCCGTCGTGAAAAGCCTCAAGGGGGGTGTAGGCCTACGCCGCTGACCCCCCATGGGTGGCCGATTGGATGCTGCTGTGACATGAGGCTTTTGAGGGAATGTGTCTGGTTAGTTATTGAGAGGTGAATTAAGGCAGCTTTGTTACACTGTACACATATATCGATCACCTGATCATACCGGACCTAAAGGCGTGTCTGTGTGCCGTCTTACCCAGGAGCATCCTGGGAACGCCATGCCCGCCAGTGCCGTGTCATATCTGTACATACGTTTGTAAAGCTGTTCCCATTTTGCTACTGCAGATTCTGAGTCACAGGGCATCACTGACATGTTGAAAATGAGTGTTTCTTGGCCTGGCCTGAGTCCTGTCACTCGCCCAGTGATTTTCCCTGGTCCCCCCCCTCCCTGGTCCTCCTGGCTGCATGCCCTGCCCTTCCTCGCCCTTCCTGTCTGTGTCCCCTGCAGGACGCTTGCATTCCTGGAGAGAAATGTCCTTCCCATAAGTTCTTGCTGAGAACCATGAGACTGCGGTTGAGAATAGCCCTGGCCTCACATCTCTGTTTTGGAGGAAGGCGTTTGAAAATGCCCCCCAGCACCTCAGTTCACTGCGGGCACATAGTATTCTGCTTGGGGTGGAATGGTGTGTGGAAATGAGTTCTGCCCTGTTAGGGCGGCTGAGCAATGCTAACTGGTCCTCAGTGTGTGTTACGTGTCAGCAGAAAGGGAAGACTGACATTTGATCCCACGTGGATAGAAGTATGTGGTAGAAATGTGTGGCTCGTGCATTTCCTGTCATTGCCTTGTATCAGCCCTGTAAGCACTGCTACAGTGCTGTCACTCATGGCCCTCTGGAAGTAAGAGTGCATGTCCTGCTCTCTCTCTGCAGGTATTACATATCAAAGGGGGCCATCGTGGACCAGCTTGGCGGAGACCTTAATTCAACACCACTGCACTGGGCTACAAGGTAATGCATTCTGCTGTACGCGTCGGCGTGTATACCTATCAGCACCCTGTACGCGTGGGCGTGTATACCTAACAGCACCCTGTACGTGTCTGCGTGTATACCCTGTACGCGTCGGCGTGTATACCTACCAGCACCCTGTACGCGTCGGCGTGTATACCTAACAGCACCCTGTATGGGTGGGCATGTATACCCTGTACGCGTCGGCGTGTATACCTACCAGCACCCTGTACGCGTCGGCGTGTATACCTATCACCACCCTGTACGGGTCGGCGTGTATACCTGTCAGCACCCTGTACGGGTGGGCGTGTATACCTATCAGCACCCTGTACGGGTGGGCGTGTATACCTGTCAGCACCCTGTACGCGTCGGCGTGTATACCTACCAGCACCCTGTACGGGTGGGCGTGTATACCTACCAGCACCCTGTACGGCTGGCCGTGTATACCTACCAGCACCCTGTACGGGTGGGCGTGTATACCTACCAGCACCCTGTACGGCTGGCCGTGTATACCTACCAGCACCCTGTACGGGTGGGCGTGTATACCTACCAGCACCCTGTACGGCTGGCCGTGTATACCTACCAGCACCCTGTACGGGTGGGCGTGTATACCTACCAGCACCCTGTACGGGTGGGCGTGTATACCTGTCAGCACCCTGTACGCGTCGGCGTGTATACCAATCACCACCCTGTACGGGTGGGCGTGTATACCTATCAGCACCCTGAATGCGTGGGCGTGTATACCAATCACCACCCTGTACGGGTGGGCGTGTATACCTATCAGCACCCTGAATGCGTGGGCGTGTATACCAATCACCACCCTGTACGGGTGGGCGTGTATACCTATCAGCACCCTGAATGCGTGGGCGTGTATACCAATCACCACCCTGTACGGGC